GAAAGATGGATATTAAATGCCAATTGCACAATTTACGTTCTATAAAAATTAATAATGATCTATAAATAACAGAAATATCCGACCTAGTTGGGGGTAGTGGTGACAAAAAATATATATCTTTGAGGAAGCAAAATTTGAGTAATGCTTCAAAAGCAGAATGGGAATTAAATAGGCCCAAGTGAAGAAGAGTGGGTTGGCAAGGGGTGAAGTTTCAGAGAGTTTAGCATACGTCTCCCTGAGCAGGAAGAAACATGACACTTCTAAATGACCTGAGAAAACTTAAAACAAAAATTAGCCTGCATGTTGGTGGGAATGGACTGGAAGAGGCAAGTGTGAAATGGAAGAACTGGGAGTTTGGACTAGGGTTTAGAAGTATTGTTTACGAGATGAAATGAACAAGTCTTATGATTGATTAGATATGTCAGGGGGAGGTGTGGACCCTCTAGCTTGTGTCTGGCTCTCCATGTACACTTGGGGAAAGGGACTGTTCATCACAACATGGCTGATCTTGTCTTGTTGCTCTTAGACAGTAGGAACAATACTTCTTATGGCTTTGTTCTATTTAGCATAGTGTCACTAACAGAGCAGTGAATGGGAAGTCAAGGAAATCCGTGTTATAATACCAACTCTCACTAATTAGTCTAACAAGTTTCTTAACTACTGGCATGGATTTGGTGTTATCCTTTGTAAGATATGGGATCATAAAGTATCTAAAATTCTAGGTCTAATGAGTTTAAGTAAATTAAAATTTAAACAATGATGTTTTAAAAACACATATTAAGTCATAGTAAATGTCGGTCAGGCTAAAACTCTAGGCATTATTCTTGAATCCTTCCAATTGCATAATGAGTTCTACCTACAAAACATATCTTGATTTTATCCATTTCTCTTTAATGCTGCTACTATTGCACTAGTCCAAGTCCCTATTCATTCTTTCCTGGACTACTGTGATATTATCCTAACTGATCTCCTTCCCTCTACTCTTGCCTCCCCCATAGCCCACTTTCCAGGTAGTAGCCAGAGGGACCATTAAAAATGATACATCAGATCATGCAACTCTAATGCCCAAACCCTCCACTGACTTCCTGTTACACTTGGAATAAAATCTGAGCGCCTTACTCTTTCTTACAAATCCCTCCTCACTTGGCTCCTGTGTACCTCTTATTCCTCATTGTCCACTGCTCCTCCTCTGTTCCACATCCAGGCTCTAGCTACACTGTATTTCTTTTCCTAGAACATGCCAGCCTCCTCTGTGCCTTATCAGGCCGTTACTTTTGTCTAGAAGGTGCATTTTTGGCTCATGGCATGACTGGTTTCTCCTTGTCATTCAGTTCTTATCTTAGATGTTACTTCTTCAAACAAAGCTTTCCTGATCATCCAACTAGTGGCCATCTGATAACTCTCAATTACAACGCCCTAGTTTAAATCTCTGAAGAGCATTTATCACTCTCTGCTGTGTATATTGATTGGTTATCTTCTCCTACAAGGATGTAAGTTCAGTGAGAGAAAGGGACTTCAGTTGTCATTATGTCCCAGGTGCAAAACAGTCTTTCATGTATCAAACACACAAAGAATATATGATAAATGAATGAATGAGGCTAAAGCAGGAAATAACAGATCTTTACATTCATGGGTTTTACAATCTAGCAAAAAATGTACGTATTTTGCTATACTCTCAGGGATTCTGAGTGGTCAAGGAGTTAACATTTCCTAACTTCAACCTCAAAGGCCTTTCCCACAGTCTGCGAAGCCTATTTAGCTGCTGCTACATTAAACACACATTCTGTTTCTTTTGAATTAGGTTAGATCAGCCTATTAAAAAAAATAAATAGCTCTTAAACCAACACACTGGTGAAAATATGATTGTACTCTCTATTATATCCAAATAAGCAATCTGTGTCCCCAAACTATTAGTATTGCTTTTTTAAAACACAAAAACTTTGGTTGGATGTCAAATATTTTTCCAGTGTTTAATAAAATAGTAAAGAAACATTTTCTAAAAAAACTCTGTAAGAGATTCTGGCCTGGGCTCAGGGGAGTTAGAATATTTAACATCTGTTTTGCCTCTAAATTATTGTGACTTCTGGATCCCTTTGTCCCTCAGTTTTCTCATCTATTAAAAAAAATGCTACAAAAATCTCTTATTTTCAGGTAACACAGGAGGCAACAAGTCAGATTCTTTAAGTCTCAAAGCTACTCTCTAGGGATCACTGGGGAACTCGGCAAAAATCTATTGGGGAACTTGGAAAAAATCTATTGGCTCAGCTAGTGAGAGATCACTCCCTGTACCACTGTTCTTAGAGCGGACTTCCAGTTCAGGATCATGCGAGGGCATTGTAAGGTCTTATTTGTCTTAATGTTATTTTCCCCACCAGCCTGCCAGAATGTCTTAAACGTCTACCACAAGAATCATTCCGTTGAGTTAAGAGGTTATCTCCAGGGAGACATGTTTAAAATGAGCTCCTTGTGTAGATAACACTGAGTGCTGTTCAGCACATCTGCACAAACTGGAGTATTAGAATAGAGGTTGCCTTTCAGAAGAAAACTTGAGCTGAGGGAATGGAATATGTTATTTTCTGTTTCTTCCTTCTGTGGGGCTATTCACCCTTGAAGCATTTATAGAGTACTTCCATGACCAAAAGCTCTGCTAGGCCGTAGGTAGAATTGACAACAACGAAAAAGGTAACAGCCTCTCTCTCAAGGAACTTTCGGTGTGATGGGGATGATGAGTACATAAAAATTAACTGGGCCTGGCATGGTGGCTCATGACTATAATCCCAGCACTCTGAGAAGTTGGATCCCTTGAGCTCAGTTGCCATCCTGGGCAACACAGAGAGATCCCTTCTCTACAAAAAATACAAAAATTAGCCAAGTGTGGTGGCATGCTTGTAGTCCCAGCTACTCGGGAGGCTGAGGCTGGAGGATCGCTTGAGCCTGTGAGGTGGAGTTTGCAGTGAGCTGAGATCATGCTACTGCACTCCAGCCTGGAAAAAAGAGCCAGACCCTGTCTCAAAAAGAAAATCCATATACATTTTTGTATATGGATTACAAAGACAAAATGAAATAACCAGGTGAGATTATAAGGACAGGAGCAACTCATGTAGACATGGAATAGTCGGAAGGGCTTTTGAAAGAGATGGCATTTTCCTTGAGCTTGACTCAGACTTTGGGGAGCAAGAAGAATTTTAATAGACAGGTGGGATGATAGGAATAAGTGTAGGAAAGGAGAGAGAGCTTCCTAACCTGAGAGAACAGCAAAAGCAAAGGCAGAGTGAATTTTGGTGAAAATTAGAATTTGGGAAATATTTGGAGAGTGAGATGTTCCCTGTAAATTTTTTTTTCATTACTGAGATGTGATTGACATACAATAAACTGCACATATTTAGTGCATGCAATTTGATTAGTTATATTTATGCACCTGTGAAATCTTCACCATAGAACATTCCATTACTTCTAAAAGTTTCCCCTTAGTAATTCCTTCCTCTGACCCCTTTAGGCAACCACTGATCTGCTTTCTGCCACTATAGGTTAATTTGCATTTTATAGAGCTTTCTTTAAGTGGAGTGATACAGTATACTCTTTTTGTGGTTATGATTTCTTTAACTTAGCATAATTATTTTGAGATTCATTTATGTCATCTGTATCAATAATTCATTCCTTGGTACTGCTCAATAGTATTCCATTGTCTGGATATACCACAATTTATCTATTCACCTATTAGTGGGAATTTGAGTTGTTTCCAGCTTATGGCCATGATAATTAAAGCTGTATGAACATCCATGCACAAACCTTTACATGGATGTATGCAACTGTACCATTTCACATTCCCATTAGCAGTGATGTTGCGTGTTTTTTCATACCTGCTGGCCATTTGTAGGTCGTCTTTGGAGATGTCTATTCAAGTTCCATTTTTAAATTGGATTTTGAAATGTTATTTTATTTTTACTATTGAGTTGTAGGCATTCCTTATATAGTCTGGATATTAACCCCTTATCCACAGGTTGCCTTTTCACTTTGTTGATTATTTCCTTTGCTGTACAGAAGCTGTTTAGTATGATGTAGTCCCACTTGTTTATTTTTGTTTTTGTTGCCTGTGCTTTTGATTTCATATTCATGACACCGTTGTCAAGCCCAATATTGTAAAACTTTTCCCTTCATTTTCTTCTAAGTTTTGTGATCTCTTGTCTTACATTTGTCTTTAATGCAGTCTGAGGTTGATTTCTGTGTATGGTGTTAGATAAGGGTATGATTTCATTCCTTTGCATATGGCTATTCCGTTTTCCCAAACCCATTTGTTGAAGACACTATTCTCTCTTCATTGTGTATTATTAACATCTTTGTCAAAGGTCAGATGACCATATATATGTGGATTTATTTCTGTCTTTTGACCATTTTTAAATTGGATTTTTTAAAAATGGAGTTTTGAGAGTTCTTTGGATACAAGTCTTTTGTTGACGATGGGATTTACAGTGTTTTCCTCCAGGCTGTGGCTTGTCTTTTAATTGTTTAAACAATGTTTTTGAGGTGCATGCATTTCTAATTTCGATAAATTCTAGTTTATTAATTTTTTTATGGATAGTCATATCTATATATATTTTTTGTATCTAAGAAATCTTTGCCTAATCCAAAGTCACAAAGATTTTCATTTTTTTAAAGAAGGTTTATGGTTTTTGATTTTACATTGAGGTCTATAATTCATTTTGAGTTTATTTTTGTATATGGTATGAGGTTTGAATTAAAATTTATTTCTTTTAATGTTCTATTTGTTGAAAATGGTACCATTTGTTGAAAGACTATCTTGTCTTCACTGAATTGCCTTTGCATATTTCTCAAAAATCAGTTGTCCACATATGGGTAGAAGTAATCATGGTTTTTTGTTCTGTTTCATTGGTCTATTTAAGTATCTTTAGTAAATAAAGACAGCTTTGTTTTTATGTTTTGAAATCAGAGTTATTTAGTCAACTTTGTTCTTCCTTTTCAATTTATTTTGGCTACTCCAGGCACTTTGCAGTTTCAGAATGGGATCAAGTTTGTCAGTTTCTACAGAAAAGCCAGCTGAATTTTCACTGGGATTGACTTGAATCTACAGATTAATTTAAGAGGAGTTGACGTCCTGACAATACTGGTCTCTAATCAATAAAAAATTTATATATAACCATTTATTTGGGTTTTCTTTAAGTTCCCTTAGCAATGTTTTGTTGTTTTCATTGGACAGATCTTGCAGAAATTGTATGAGATTTATCCCTAAGTATTTCATGACTTTTGATCCCGGTATAAATTGTAAAAAATTTATATATAGCCATTTATTTGGGTTTTCTTTAAGTTCCCTTAGCAATGTTTTCTTGTTTTCATTGGACAGATCTTGCAGAAATTATATGAGATTTATCCCTAAGTATTTCATGACTTTTGATCCCGGTATAAATTGTATTTTTTAAGTTTCAAAATTGGATTTTTGTGTTTTAAAAGTACAATCCTAAATTGTATTTTTTGGTTGTTCATTGGCTGTACATATACATTCAATTGAATTTTCCTTTCCTATTTAAATATCTCCTATTTATTTTTTCCTGCCTTACTGAAATGACTAGAACCTCTAGTACAATGTTGAATGAAGTAGTGAGAGCAAACATTCTTGCCTTGTCCTAACCTTAAGGGAAAGCATTGTCTTTCACCATTGTTACGGGATGAGTTTTGTTCCTCTTCCCCAAATTCACGTATTTAAGTCCTAACTCCCAGTACCTCAAGATGTGACTATTTGTAGAGACAGCTCTTAAGAATGCAAATAAGGTAAAATTAGGACATGGGTGAGCCCTAATCCAATGTAACTGGGGTCTTTATAAGAAGACATCAGGAGCTAGGTATGTGTAAGTGCAGAAGAAAGACAATGTGAAGACAGAGAAGAGAGCCATCTGCAAGTCACAGAGAGAAGCCTCAGAATGAAACCAGCCATAATCTTGGACCCTGATCTTGGACTTCTAGCCTTCAGAACTGTGAGAAAATTAACTTTTGTTGTTTAAGCCACCCAGTCTGATGTATTGTAATATGGCAGCCCTAAAAAATGAATATAACCATTAAGTATGATGTTAGCTGTAGGTTTTTTTGTAGATGCCTGTTATCCGGTTTAGACAGTTCTATTTTATTCCTAGTTTGCTGAAAGTTTTTTTTTTTAATATATATATATCAGGAATGTACGTAGGATTTGTCAATGCTTTTCTGAATATATTGAGAAGACCATATGGTTTTTATTTTTTAGTTTGTTAATATGGTGAATCAAATGGATTGCAACAGTGATTTAATATGCTATAAAAATTCTTATGTTCAGGAATTAATGATATTTTCAGCTCTTCCTATGGTATAAACGAAGACAAAAATGTAATTAGCCACAACTCAGCCTATGTAGATTGGTAAAACTCTCAGCAGGGTTTCATAAACTAAAAAGGAAGCAGTGAGATTGGACGATGAATACTTATACCCAAAATTGATTATAATCTGAACCCTCAATTTATTAAAAACTTTCTGAACTTGGCTTTAAAATAGAAAGAGTATAACAGGAAAACGAGGAATGTAGCAAAAGCAAATAAAACCTGCATATTTAAAATATGGTCTAGAGCTTAGTTTGCTTTTTGTTAAATTTCTTATATACACCTATATCCTTAATAGGCATGTGAAGAAAGGTACTTGTGCAGGAGATAGTAAGGAGCCTCTGGAAAATGTCTTCCTCCTCTACCAAAATACCCACAATGCTTTATTAGCCGTTTATTTCTTTGGTTTAGCTTTGTCTCTTTTAAAATTATATTTCATTTGGAGAGCCAACACTTTGGGCTGTTGAGTGTTCACTAATAGTTTCAGTTGATTTTCTTTTCCTCAGGGCTATTTGGCTATTTGGCTGAGGTCAGAGCACTAAGGATTTGACTATTTTAGGGAAGGATAATTTTGAAGCATAGAATAATCTGATTATAGGACACATCTGGCTAAGGGGTGGGGCTAGGAGCTGGTAGGAAGAAGAAAATGACTCATTCTAGGAGATAGGCTGATGTGTAGAAAGGGAAATGGGAAATCACTTAAGGTGTTATTGAATGAAACACTTATGTGTGATGACTCGTTTGCCAGGCTTATGTCTGGACATAGGTATGAATAAGACAGTACCTTTAAGTGAAATTGAGGATGGAAGTGGAGGTGAGAAGGGTGTGAGAGAGAAGCAGCGAGATTGAGTGGAAACAAGAGAGTAATGTTAAGTGTCAAGACTGGTTACAGAGGTGTATTCAAACTCAGGCTGGAGCATAGTGGAGGCAGTTGCTGAGAGGTTGGTAGAAAGAGGGAGTCAGTTGAGAAAGCCCTGGAGAAGAGGAAACAGATGAATAGTAGTAGTACAGCTTTAAGGATGGCCTGATCTTTCTATAGGATATTTACTTATTTATTTTGAATTTACTTTTAATTTTAAAAATTTTGTGTGTGTGTACATAGTAAGTGTATATATTTATAGGGTAACTGGGATGTTTTGATAAGGCATGCAGTGTGAAAGAAGCACATCGCACCATAGGATATTTCATCATAAAGGAAGATCAAATTATTTTCTGTGTCCTGTGTTTACTAGGTCAAGATGCTAAAAATAAAAGAGTTTGTAGGAAGAGTGGAATATCCATGTAACACTTGGGAGATCAGTCTATTGGCCCCAGTCTCTGAGCATTTTGGTTAATTGAAGGTTCATTAATATTGGATCTACTTTAACACATGAATGGTGTTTATTGCCAACCATGTGCACAATGACATAGTATAATAAAGTACTGCAAGGGCAAGGGTACTGAGATATGTCATCTAGGTTCAAATTCTGATACCACCTGTTATTGCTTGTATGACTTTGGGAAAATTATCCTTTCTTTGCTCAGTTTTCCATCTGGGAAATGAGGTTAATAGAATTTTTCTTTTTTCTTTTTGTTTTTAAATGAGGATCATGCCAGGTATGGTGGCTCACTCCTGTAATCTGAGCACTTTGGGAGGCTGAGGCGGGAGGATCACTTGAGTCCGGGAGTTCTAGATCAGCCTTGACAACATAGTGAGACTTTGTCTCTATAAAAAATAAAAACAAAATTAGCTGGGCATGGTGGTACACAGCTACAGTCCTAGCTTCTTGGGAGGCTGAGGTGGGAGGATGGCTTGAGCCCAGAAGGTCAAGGCTGCAGTGAGCCAAGATCGCATCACTGCACTCCAGGCTGGGTGACAGAGTAAGGCACTGTCTCAAAATAAAAAAAAAAAAATGGCCAAGGTGGGTAGATCACCTGAGGTCAGGAGTTCCAAACCAGCCTGACCAACAGGGTAAAATCCCATCTCTACTAAACATAAAAAATTAGTCGGGCATGGTGGCATACGCCTGTAATCCAAGCTACTTGGGAGGCTGAGGCACGAGAATTGCTTGAACCCACGAGGCAGAGGTTGCAGTCAGCCGAGACTGTGCCATTGCACTCCAGCCTGGGCAACAAGAGCAAAACTCCGTCTCAAAAAACAAACAAGCAAAAAAAGAGGATCAATTGAATTAAATGTGCAAAGTGCTTAACATAATGCCTAGCACATACAGACACTCAATAAGTATGTATTTTTTTTATTATAGTTTGCCTATGGAATACATATATATAAACCATATATAAAATAAATATATATATTTATACTTACGTGTGTGTGTGTATATATACACACATATGTTATGTTTGTCTATATAGACACACACAGAGAGAGAGAGAGAGAGGAAGAGAGCAAGAGAGAACAAGACAGAAAGAGAGAATGAGTATCAGTAGAGAATGTGGGTTTGCAGGAAAGGCAGACCTAAGTTAAAATCTTGATTCTGTTAGGTACTTACTGAGCCTAAGTTGTTTTCTGATTGATATAATAAACTTTGTGAGGTTATTGTGAGAATTAAGTGACAAAATATACAAAATTGCATGATCAATTATCTGGTGATTTGTGGGCACTTAATGGCTGTCTATCGTTATTACATATTTTAAAATAGTCATCTCTAATCATATTTTCGTTAGAATGATCCTCATAAAACTATTGCCAGGTAACAATAAAGAAGTATTCTGGCTGGGCCCTGTGGCTCACGCTTGTGATCCCAGTGCTTTGGGAGGCTGAGGTGGGAGGATTACTTGAAGCCAGGAGTTAGAGAACAGCTTGGGCAGCATAGTGATGCCTCATCTCCACAAAACATAAAACTGTTGCTGGGCTTGGTGGCTCGTGCCTGTAGTCCCAGCTACTCAGAGGCTGAGGTGGGATATTGCTTGAGCTCAGGAATTTGAGGCTGCAGTGAGCTATGACTGTGCCACTGCACTCCAGTCTGGGTGACAGAGCAAGACCCGGTCTCTAAAAATAAATAAATAAATAAAATATTTCTATGCATTTAGTAATTTCCTTTATATCCTATAGACTGGGCCAAAATTAACTTTAAAAAAATGTTCATTTTTATCTATGTTTCAAGGAAGAGAGAATTGAAAGCATGATGTATGGTAATATGATTGAAGCACTTAGCTACAAACTAGGCTTTTATTGACTGAATCTTACAAATACATTTATTTGTTTTTTAAAGCATTTATGTGGATCTCTAATCAATGGGGAGAAGATGGAGTAAGTTTCATTAAACAATATCGATATTGGGATGATAAAACAGTTTACTGGGAAAAAATAAAGTTTAATCCCTAGCTCGTATAGTATATTGTGAAAAACTTCAAATGTATTAAAGGTATAAATGTAATATATGAAACCATAAAAGTAATACAGTAGAAGAAAAAATGGGTGAATTACTTTTTAGCTTTGGAGTAGGGAAGCATTTCTAATATGATCAAGAATTCAGAAATCATAAAAGAAGAAACTAATAAATTTGACCACATTAAAACTATATATATATAGTTTGTATATGTAGTTTAATATATATATAGTTTATATAGTTTTTGATTATACATATATAATATAGTTTTTGATTATACATATATAATCAAAAACTTCTGTGGAATGAAAACTATCATAAGCAAATTAAAAGATGAATAACACATTGGGGAAAATTCAACTGAAAATTTACAATAAGATTTGCAACTCTTGTAATTTTTATTATGAATTAAAAATTAATCTCCCTAATATTTGCAGAGATCCTAGAGGTGATAAGACAAAGGCTAGATGTGTTTTCTTAAAG